GAAATCGTTTCTCGGAATGTCCTCGGAATTGTGGTTCTCGGTATTTCCTCGGAATTTTCCGAGGAAATTCCGAGGAAACTGGAATTTCCGACGAAAATTTTCCGACGACCTGTTCCGTCGGTATATCCTCGGAATACCTATATTCCGACGACATTCCGACGAATTTTTCCGTCAGAATCGCCGTGTTTTCTTGTAGTGTGTTACCATCAGAATGTAGAGTGTTTTTGATGTATGGAAATTTACAAATTGGCATGGCATGCGTACATGTTATAGCATGTTTACATTTACATATGATTTAAAGTAGATAAGTTCCTTTAGAGAAAAACTGTATAGCTCATATAGTTTAGATCGAAAATGTTAGATAAGTTTACGAAAAGCCTGTAAAAGGTTGAGAGTTTGACAAAGTTGGTCGTCACATGCAACTTTAGCTTCCATGCATGCGTATACCTTTTCGTATCTGCGAATTCGCCTTCTTGTTTCTCATGTTTGACCAACATCTCCTCCCAAAAAAAGAAAAAGGTCAAATAAGAAGAATATTATCGTTGTCAGCACAAACAACTTGTTACGAAAATTCATAGGTACCAATCTGCAATAAAATTATAAAACTCCTATAAAAATATTCATATTATCCGTCACCTGATCACATTTCTGATGTTCTTAATTAAATGAGTAAAAGAAAGCAGGCTTATTAGGACATAAGTATATTGTGTCCGAAGGGTTATATGTCCCTTCATCGGTTTTTGATTTGGTGAATAAACTAAAGATGAGTTAGTTTAGGACTAAATCTTTGCCTCAAGGTAGTACTTAAAAAAACAATCTCGTGGGATTACGCTTGTCGGACAACTTTGTTTATTTTAAACTAAATAAAATCATAGGTCGTTATAGAAGCCTTACGTAACACATGTCATCAGATGTGTATTTTTGTTGACCCGTTGGTATGTTAATTAGAAGGTTATACAACCCTGGAGATATGCTTTTGAGGAAGGGTATTTTCGGATTCATTCAGAGCCTGCACCTTCTTGAATAACTCCCACTTTTCAATTATAAAACCATAACAACACTATGTTCATCTGTATATGTACATGTAGCAGCAGAGTTTCAACCTTAAATGCACCCTGTGAGATCATTTGCACATTCACTCCATTGCTTCCAAATAGTTTGAAAACCTGTTTTGTTCATTCATTCCATTCCCCATTTTAACTTCATATAAACTTATTGTGAATCAATTAAAGATGTTTTAATCTTTTATTGGGCCAGATGATGAGGATCCAAAATGGGATGGGCCAGAATGAGTTTGACTGTTAACTAATGGATTGGCCGATTCAAAATGGTGAGGGAACAATTAAGTCTTCCAGTGTGTTTATTTTACTGTTTTAAGTCAAGTTTCAGGCTGTTTCTTTTGGTGTGTGTTGGTTTAGGCCATTTTGGTGAGGCGTCGCAACTGTTGTGCGAGCAGGAAAACTTAGAACACACAGGTGCACCGTGCACATGTAGTTTTGTTGAGACGCATGGCTAATGCGAAAGAGGTTGAGATTGGAATCAGACATATGAAATGGATCAAAGAGGTATCGCCATCTCTTGTTCACACCATTTCTTCTGACCTGTCTGGCCTCTTTCTGTTCATCATCATCTGATCCTGATTTCATATACTTGAGCATTCATAATTACACCATAGTTATATCAATTTCAATTAATGTTTCGCTTTACTAAATGTACATAGTTTTCTAATCCAAAATTTGTAAAAGAAAATTTAGGTGAAATCGATATAAGAAATCGCCTTAGACTCCTAATTCTCAAGGTTGGCATACCGAGTTCTATGGGTGAATTGTATACGTTACAAGTTGTTGACTGTATACGTAAGAATTATCTTCTAATGAATAAAAAATTTACTTACGTTGTATGCGACTTATCTTGTTCTCATGATGAGCCCTTTATTGAGTGATTTATCTAAAAGGTTAAAATAAACCTTTCTAACCCAGGAAATGTTATGATCTTCTCGTTCTCTAACAACGATTTGATGTATTCATAATTGTCAAAAAAAAGAAGAAAATCTGTGAGGAAGCTATTTTATTGGACCAGCATGTACGGGCCCTACGGGCTATAGAGCTCATCTCTGATGCAATGGTCGGGTCAAAATCACAGACTATTGCTGGAAGGTGTCCACGTAATCTGGAGTGGGGACCTCTGAGGCAATTATTTCCCAAACAGTTGACAGTTATTACGGTTAAGATCTTATAATTTTTTTTGAGCAACTGTTAAGATCTTATAATTAAGGTCATGAAAACAACCTTACTCTTGTCTTAATTTAACCATACGATTTTGTTATTTTAAGAGTCAAACTTGTAAAACAAGAGATTACTAAATTTATATATTAATAGTGTGATTAAGATGGATACAAGGAGCTAATGCTTAATACAAACGCACTTCTCCCCTCACTCTCTCTAATTCAACACTATGATGATTAATCTAATCTTTTTTGTTCTTAAACCCAAAAAAAGAGTAAAGAAACAACAACAACAAAAAAAAAGAGAAAGAAAAAAACGCAGTAAAAGAAGGTGGACTTAGTTTTGGATCAGAGCCAGAGAGCACCAGCATCTTTGAGAAGAGGGACAAGTGAGCCATTGATATGAGAAGCCATCACTCTCTCCATCGATCCCACCATCTTCCCACCGATGAATACCACCGGAAGTGCCCCCGGAGAAGTGGAGGCGCCGCTGGAACAGCCTAGGAGACGCATGAGAGCTCGGTGGATATCGACGCCATAAGGGTGAAGGTCCAGCTCGTGAACGGCTGGACTCACTCCCATTCCACGGAAGAGACCCTTGACGGCGTGGCACATGCAGCAAGTGCTCACGCTGAATATAACCACCGCATTTTCTGCAGCCATGGACTCTATCTTAACAAGAATGTCAGATGGAAACACTCCCATGTTGTTCACCTTGTTGTAGGAAAATGAGCCTCTAGTTTCAGTTTTGTATTGCATTTTGTCTTTCTCAGATAGAGAGTTTGTGTTGGTTGGGATGGGGAGAGAGTAAGAAACATGCATACTATTTATAGAAGGTGAGTTTCTCAAATTTAACTGGTAGAATTTTTTATTTGATTTAAATGAAAATGATAACAAAATAATTGACGTGATAGCCGTGGTTGTTAGCTTTCGTGGCTTTTTTTAATGTTTTTCAAATATTGCTTTGCTCTACAGTGTAAAAAGTCGAATATTTTTGATTTTTTTTCAGTTAATTATGTTAAGAGAATAAGAGAATTTGTAATAGATATATATTCTTCTTGTCACGCCTGAATTAGAACTTTAAGTGCTGCCAGCATTATATGAGCAAGCCGTAACGATGAGATGAGGTCGAATGTTTTGGATATGGCCGGTGTTTATTCATTATATTCCATTTTAGCTTTATGCTCAAATCTTCTAATCAATCTCTATAAACAACCTACATATAATATCATTAATTATCAATATGATCATAAAGGAGGTGGAATTTATATATTTGTTTGGAATGTAATCAAGTTAAAGCATCGATCCCACTAATATAGCTATGCATACATGAACTGGGACTTAAGAATATGTAATCAGGATCGAATTTTGTATATAATTATTTATCCTAGACCCCATGGGGATATATAAAATTGGCAATTTATATTAAAAGGGAAATAAAGGAGTCATCAATATGCTTGGAATGAGCTTTAAAAATAAAAGAAGACACTATTGACTGGGATATAGTTGCAACCAGTGGCGAAGTCAGCTAAATTATTTTTTTTTTTAAAATAACATATGTTACATTATAAACATATGTTACATGGGTTAATAAGATAAAACTTATAACATTTTCTCTATATTGTCCTCACAAAGCTACTTCGGCCAGCGTATACTTGCTTCGTACTATCAGAATGTAGAGTGTTCTTGAGGTATGGAAATTACAAGTTGTCTTCTCATGCTCGCATCTTTATATGCATATGTGATAAATTAAAACAAGCAAGTTATGTTAGATAAATAAAACTGTATATAATTCATATAGTTTTAGATCGCAAGCTCACTAAAAGCCTGAAAAAAAGTTGAGAGTTTGACAAAGTTGGTCGTCACATGCAACTTTAGCTTCCATGCATGCGTCTGCCTTTTCTTATCTGCGAATTCGCCTTCTTGTTTCTCATGTTTGACCAACCACTTCTCCCAAAAAAAAGAAAAAAGGTCAAATAAGAATATTATTGTTGTCAGCACAAACAACTTGTTACGAAAATTCATAGGTACTAATCTGCAATAAAATAATAAAACTCCTAGAAAAAATATTCATATTCTCCATCACCTGATCACATTTCTGATTTTCTTTTACATATTTAAATGAATAAATAGCATGCTTATTAGGACATAAGTATAAAGTTTAAAGATGAGTCCGAAGAGTTATATGTCTCTTCATCGGTTTTAGGACTAAATCTTTGCCTCAAGGTAGTACTTAAAAAAACAATCTCGTGGGATTACGCTTGTCGGATCACTTTATTTATTTTAAATTAAACAAAATGGAAGGTCGTTACAGAAGCCTTACGTAACACATGTCATCAGATGTGTATTCTTTTGTTGACTAGTTAGTTGGTTAGACGGTTATAACCCTCGAGATATGCTTTTCATAAAGGGTATTTTCGGAATTTTTTCGTTTCTTTTCAAAGCCTGCAACTTCTTGAGTAGCGCCCACTTTTTCATATCCTTTGTTCTTTTTCTTTTTGTTGACCGTTATGTTTGTTGAAAGACATTTATTGATTATAGAGTTTTGACACACATTATGTAACTGTATCACAACAACAACTAGAACGTGAAGTGGTTCCAAGTCTTAGTAGACACAGTCTTAGCTCTGTGCCTACATTAAGAAGATGTCTCAAAGAAGGCGGAGTGGAGAGACCTCACACATTGCTCTGCCTCTTCATCATTCACTATCAATGAAATGTTCACCTGAAAAAAAAGACATTATACACTCATTATAAACCATAACAATACTATATTCATCTGTATATGTACATGTAGCAGCAGAGTTTCAACCTTAGATGCACCCTGTGAGATCATCTGCACATTCACTCCATTGCTTCTAAGTACTTTGAAAACCTGTTTTGTTCATTCATTCCATTTTCCATTAACTTCATTTTAAACTTATAATCAAAAGAGAACCACAAAGACTATCACTCACCTTCTCTAATATGAGTGATGACTTCTGTACGTTTCCAATGAGAGAGATGATTGATCTGCGCTGAAGCAGTTTCACAACTGCAATCTTCTCTAGCTCTTCTACAACATGATCCAGCTCCTGTTCACACACCCAATCATTTTTACAGATATGACAATGACCCTCAGAATCTACCAAAGTAAAACGGAGACTTACGTTTGCCCGCTGAACTAACTCTCTACCCCAGAGCTTTGCTGGATCCAGTGTCAATGATATACTAACTTCACTCGTTGCCACAACATCCACCGATATGCCTAAATCTTCAAATGTGGTAAACACCTGCACACAAACAATATGTATCCTTGCAGTGTAATATTAAACAAAGTTTAATAAAGATCATTTATCTAGGTAGATTACCTTGGCGAGGAAACCATATTGGCCGAGCATACGAGTGCTTGCTATGTCCAACATGGTCACATTACGTTTCAGAACAATGCTTGTCAGCACAGCCTATGAGAAAGAAGCGAGAAGAGGTCATTGATAGTTTTTGATATAATGGAGGTTAAAAACACCATTGTTTCACAAACCTTACTCATGTCTCTAGATCTGGTGATGACAGTTCCTGGAGCATTGGGGTTGTAAGAGTTCTTCACCCTAACAGGAATGTCACCATCTCTTGCTGGCCTCATGGAAAGTGGATGCAACACCTGCAACGAAGGAGAAATCTGCTCAGCCATCAGACATATAAGAGCTAATCCGAAATAGATAAATCTACGAGATTACTTGAGCACCAAAGTAAGCAAGCTCAGCTGCCTCATCAAACGTTAAGTATGGAACAGACTGTGCTCCAGAGTATATGTTCGGATCACAAGTCAATACTCCATCCACATCTTTCCAAACCTACACCAGATTCAGAAAATCAAAACAAAAACAAAAAAAAATCTTTGTGTTATGATGCAATCTTGGCTAAACCTATACCTGAATTTCCCTTAGTCCTAACGCTTTCCCAATCGTTGTGGCTGTTAAATCACTACCACCCCTACCCAAAGTCGTTATAGCACAAGACCTCCATCCCTGCACAAACACATACAAGCCTTGCAATAGTCACACAACGCATTACTTGATCCAAGAGAATAACATGATGTGAAACAGTCAGAAATAATTATAAAACCTTTCCGAGGAAGCCAGTAACTACAGGGACTGCGTTGTCCTTGCTCCAGTTATTAAGTAGCGTTTTGGAGACTGCAGGGTATGTTGCTTCAAGTATATCAGCATTTGTAAAATCGTCTGTGGTTATAAACCCAATCTCAAATGCATCATACTGCCAGCAACAACAAACAAACAACTCATCAGTTAATAACACTTCAATATGTTCAAACAAGGGAACTATAAAGGCAAACATACTTGACGCGCTTTGTGGCCAATTTTGTTGAGATACGCAGAGAAGAGCCTTGTGGACATGCACTCTCCAAATGAAACTAAGTAGTCCCTTGTACGTAAGGTTAACTCTTTCATCATCGATATGCCTTTCAGAAGCTGGTGTAGTCCTTCTAGGTGTTCTGCATTGGATTAGCCATGAAAGTGGATTCAGATATGAAAATTAACAGAATGAGCAAAGCATTGAGAAACAAGAACCAAGACCCTTACGTGCAATAACCGTTGTTTCCACTCCAAGCTCATGAGCAGTTCTGAACACACAGAGTTTTGTTTCCCGTAAGAATAAGGCTAAACTTGGACTGTGAACACTAAATAACAATCACAAAAACATGACAAACATTGTTTTATTCTACCTTAAATGGAGTTCCTTAATAAAGCTCAGTTCTTCAATACTTTCTACATTTGTGACACCACAAGTAACAGCCTTCTCTCCAGCCTAATAAAACCCAAAAGGCCAAGAAAAATAATTTACTAATACCAATATGAAGTATAAAAAGATTGACAATGTTGTTTTTTACCTTCAAAAGCTTATTAGTAGTCTTCCCCATTGCTGATAACACAATAACAGGCCTCTCATCAGGAAAGCTGAGTATAAGATTAGCAACTTCTTTCATCCTCTCTGCTGACTCCACTGATGAGCCTCCGAACTTCATTACACAAGTCAACTCTTTCCCAGTTCCACTTAAACTTCTAGTCTCAGTCTCTTTTCTCTCAATCAAATCAACTCTTGCAGCTTCACAACTAACTCTCAAAGCTATATTCCTACAAGAATGCTCTACGGTTCTAAAGATTGCGTTACTTGAGGTCGGAGTAACTGAGAAATTACAAATCCCCTTTGAGCCAAACTCAAGCCTCTTTGAACTTAAAGCAAGCCCTGGAGTTTGAACTCCGTACAACTGCAGTGAAGTCGTCATTGACACTCAATAGTGAAAAGCTTGGTTAAACTCAGTGTTGTGATCTCGACGAATGGTACAGCTGTGAACTTTCAATGAGTGGAACCTGCAACTACAAAAGTATTAGAATAAGAAGTAAAAACATCATGTATTTCTCATGGGACCTAAATATTATAATGATTTAACAATTAGGTAGAACCATGGCACGAGATATGATTATGAAAACTCTTTCTTTAACCAATTAGGACAATGTGAGTTGACTAGGAGAGACACAAGACGACCACTTCTCAAATCATATCAAATCAAACAACCAATTGTACAAGCAATCATAATACTATTATAAGAGTAACAAATAATTGGTAACACGTTGTTCAAAAAAAAAAAAACAAAAAGAGGAAACATTTTTGTACAGAGTTCTTTTGTAAGGAGTCAAACCCAAATGGATCTGTTATAATCAAGAATCTGAAGCATACAAACAAGAAAATGTGTAAAGTGGAATTCTTCATCACTTGGATGCAAAGAAACTATGAATCATTTGACAAATTGAAAGAAAATAGCAAATGGTGATCAAAACACAGAGAAGAGCATGTATCCAAAGGAAGAAGAAGAATGTAGACAAGTACCTAAACAGGGATCTCTTCTCGGACACAGTTGAAGCGACTGGTCGGATTCGCCGGCCAGAAGCTCCAAAGGAAATAATGTTTTTTTTTTGTGTGTTTAAGAAGTGAAAACGGCGCTTAAAGACATCATTAAGAGGATGTGGAGACACAACACTGCTGTGTGTTGCCCTTCTCAGAATCCCACGGTCCAGATTCAATCTCTGGATTCAGATACCCTTTCATCCTCGGGTAAGCCACTAGCATTGTTTGAATGTGTTATTTAGTGAAACAATGACGACATGTTACTTCTTCTCGTGCACTTATTTTAGATATTCAAAATAGGTCTCGATAGTGACATAACGTGAGAACGACTTGGCCCCACTCAGTTCCAATAATCAGAAAGACAAGATTCCATTGATCCCCACACAACTGATAACATATGATCCACAAATGAGTAATGTGATAAAATAAAAACACAACATTCCCAAAACTGCCCTCGCTAAGGCCACTTCAAGCATCCTTGTAAATTGTAAATGATGCAGTTTGTACAGCAAAACATTTCCTGCGGCGTTTCCCATGGCCATGATGAAGCAACATCCATGGCTAAAGTTCAAGCAGCAAGGGTAATGCATCGTGATGTTCGGTGGCGACCAGTTTGAGAAGACGGTTAGGGATGGAACATGGAACGTGGAATCTGAGCATCATGGTTGAACTTTCATGAAATCTATCTTGGAAGTGAGATTGTCTACTGTCTTTATTGGCTTTCTTTTGCCTGCCACAAACTCAAGACTTCTTGTATATGTTTCAAACCCTTTCTCTGTAACAACGCACCGTTTAGTGAATTGCAAAGTAAAGTGCCAGAAGTGCTGCCTTCATCTACACCTTTGTATAAGCACTTCATTCCCAGTACATTTGCCCGTCGCCTGCTGAACTCAACAACTGTTTCTCATCATCATTGAAGGCTAAGGACCTCACTGAACCGTTCATCTTTAAGGTTCCACTAAGCTCTTTCGTTTTAGTGGACACAAGTAAAAGATATAACCTTCGTTGCCAGCTAAAGCTATGATCATGAAGTGTTGTGACACCCCAAAATGTTCCATGCTACCAAACGGCCAATTTTTTTTTCTAACTTTCTTCTCCCTAAGACTCATTGACCAAGAAAGCCGCTTTACGAATGGGACAACTCACAAGACAAAATGCCCTGTACCTTTCTGGTCCTCTTTCCATCAATCTGGAAAAACCTTAACCTTCAGTGAGAAGCAGCTGAGCGTTTTGATGGGAGTGGACAGAGTTAATTGAGCCGTTTGAAGGATACGCTGCATTAGCATCCCCAAGTCTTGAGTGGGTCAAGAAGACCAGCTTGCACCACAAGATCTTCATTTATTCCAACTTCCAAGCCCACTCTGTTCCCGAGTTTAGCTTATAGCATGATGAGTCCTCAACCTCTCAATGTACTCAAACCCAGAGATCAACTACTCTTTCCCTTCTCTCCTTAGCTTCCTGAGCGGTTAACATTAGCTATAAATTAATGTTTATTTGTTTCTCTTCTTCATTCTCCCACGCATCTTTCTCCCTTTCTAGCTTCAGGCTTTTTTTCATTTCAACTTGTTCAGTCTCTCGTTGCTTCCTCCTCCACCATCTTTCTTCATTTTCCCCAGCGTCATCTTCAGACTCTTCTCTTTCTAATGTTTACTTGTCGGAACGTTCTGAGATAACAACATGCTCATTACTCAATTCCCACAAATTCAATTGCTTGCTGCATAAAAGAACAACTATAAAGATTCACACCCTAATCTCGTTCGTTATCTCCGGGAACACAAAATTACTACAAAAGCTAGAAGCATGAAACAACTTACAACGTAGCCTCCACGGAGCAGAAACACTTTCAACAGTGAGTGTCGGCGACGGAAATTTAAAGGTCAACGTGGTTCACGACCCTTCAAAAGCCCATGGGCCATGACAGAAATCTCAATTAAATAAACAAAAGTCGGAAAAATTCGTAATACACCCTTTTTAATGGGTCAACGAGTTTTACGCCCCTTGAAAAGCCCATGGGCTACACAATAAAAAACTACCACGATGGCATTCTCGTGATTATATCAAACTATACGCCTTATTCCATCCCCATCTAAATACCCAATAAAGCGCCGAGATTCGAAGGTCAATAATAATAACAAACATCATTGGCGTTTTCTCATTAGGCAGAGCGTGAGAGATCAGACATTTCTACGCTAACCTTTTTTTGATTCCCTTCACCGTCGTCACGATGGAATCTCCGAAGAATTCTCTGATCCCTAGCTTCCTCTATTCCTCCTCCTCATCGCCGAGATCTCTCCTCCTCAACGCTGCATTCGCGTCCTCCAACGTCGAGAAATCTCCTCCTCCTTCCTCCGCTCCGAAGACGTTGGTGTCACGGAAGAATTTCGTGATCGCGTCTCCCACGGAGCCAGGGAAAGGGATCGAGATGTACTCTCCCGCCTTCTACGCCGCGTGTACCTTCGGTGGGATTCTCAGCTGTGGTCTCACTCACATGACTGTTACTCCTCTCGATCTCGTCAAATGCAATATGCAGGTATGTATGTATGTAACCGTTTAGATCCATTATCCTTTCGTATGTATGTGTATGTATGTAACGGTTTAGATCGATTAATTTTCGTATGTGATTCCACAGATCCGTGTTCATGTGTTGCTTAGGTGCTGAGATCTAGGTTTTTTGGCTGAATAGATCCATGACTCGTATTTTGATCTCTGTTATAAGTATATTCGTTGATTTAGTTCTATGTTGAATCTAAAACTTGAATAGACGCCAATTCTTGTGTGGCCTTTGCTTGAATCTGTTCTAATTTAGTATTTTTTTCTATTATAAAATTTAAGTGAAGTTGTTGATTAGTTTATAATTTGGTAAACCATTCCTCGGAGATAGAATGTGAAAATCCTGGTGGCCACGCGCATGGAAATTTGGTGTAGTGCAGATTCGAACTTGGATCCTTTGAAAATCCACAGAACACCTTGACCGACCAAAGAGGCTTGGTTGATTAGTTTAATTAGTTTATAACTTAGTAAATTTGCTTAGTTATCAATTTCTCCATAATTTTAAGTAGTTTTTTTATTTATCATGTTTAATAATTTTATATAGAATCTATTATATAGTAAAAATGAATTTATATTGCTTATGCTTTTTTTTAGAGCACACGGATCTGGTTGATTTAGTGTTTTTATTGTACTATGTTTGTTACTTGACCTAGTATTTGTGGATTGATTCACTTTTCTTTTTTTTTTATGTTTCTTGCAATTCAGATTGATCCAGCGAAGTACAAGAGCATCTCGTCTGGTTTTGGGATATTGTTGAAGGAGCAAGGAGTCAAAGGCTTTTTCCGTGGATGGGTTCCTACTTTGTTGGGTTACAGTGCTCAGGGTGCCTGCAAGTTCGGATTCTACGAGTTCTTTAAGAAGTATTACTCTGATCTTGCTGGACCTGAGTACACTGCCAAGTACAAAACGCTTATCTACCTTGCTGGTTCTGCATCTGCTGAGGTGATTGCAGATATTGCACTTTGCCCGTTTGAAGCTGTTAAGGTTAGGGTTCAGACTCAGCCTGGTTTCGCTAGGGGAATGTCTGATGGGTTTCCCAAGTTTGTCAGGTCTGAAGGATACGGAGGGTGAGTGTTTGGGTATTAGTAACTTTTTCTCCCCGTTTTACAGCTAAGCTGGCTATTTGTGTCTGATTTCTTGTTCTTTTTTGCAGCTTGTATAAGGGACTTGGTCCACTTTGGGGACGTCAAATTCCTTGTTAGTTCTTGTTGGACTAATATTTCTTTCTTTTAAGCCTTACCTGATTCTTTAAAAGCAACAGTGTGCTGATTGATGTATCTACAAATGTGACAGACACTATGATGAAGTTTGCTTCATTTGAGACCATTGTCGAGATGATCTACAAGTATGCAATCCCCAACCCAAAGCACGAGTGCAGCAAAGGTTTGCAACTAGGGGTTAGTTTTGCTGGAGGTTATGTCGCTGGAGTGTTCTGTGCAATAGTCTCTCACCCTGCTGATAACCTAGTGTCATTCCTCAACAATGCTAAGGGAGCAACCGTTGGAGATGTAAGTTACTATTTTAATACAGACAAAAAAAACTGTTTATTTGTGTTGCTATAGAATTTTGATTGTGAACTTTGATGCAATGAAATGTAGGCTGTGAAGAAGATTGGACTGTTGGGACTCTTCACAAGAGGACTTCCTCTAAGGATTGTGATGATAGGGACATTGACCGGAGCACAATGGGGTTTATATGATGCCTTCAAAGTGTTTGTTGGCCTGTAAGATCCTCTCTCCTCACTTCCTTTCGTTTCCTTTCTCACTACCTTCTTCAAAAGATGCTAATTCTCAATTTTTTTGATTTGATTCAGTCCAACCACCGGTGGTGTTGCTCCAGCTCCTGTCATCGTTGCTGCTGAAGCCAAAGCCCAAGACTAAATGATGATAAAAAGGGTTTAGGATTTTTGCTTGACAAAAATAAAGAGAAACGTATTGTAGTGAGGACGAGTGAGCTCATCCTCACGATTCCAACTTTATTTTTTTTCCTTTTTGAAATTCATGTTCCTGAATTCAGGATAGTGCTCTCTCTATATTTTGACATACTCTTTCCCTATTATTGTTTCTTTCGTGTTTGTGGGATTGTAATCTTAAAAAAGATGAGTGAGACAGACTGCAAGATAGGGAGAGTGGGCACGCCCACTTACTACTTTTGGTTATATTTTATTTCATTTGAAAATCTTCTTTTTAGCCCTGGTTTCATTTTTGTTGGTCTCCACCTTTTATAACCTTACACTATTGCTGTCCAGAGAGCGTAACTAAAGGTTTTGTTTTCCATATTGAAAATTGTACAGAACGATTAGATAACAAGAAAAAAAATCATCTCGCCCACCGTGGGGCTCGAACCCACGACCACAAGGTTAAGAGCCTTGCGCTCTACCAACTGAGCTAGACGGGCTTGGATGATGATACTTAGCATAGGATTTTAATTATAACTCTTTAGGTTTACTAAGTTCATGCTACTGAATTTACGTTTTCTGATTTTTGATTATGTCTGCATATAATGTGATTATGCAAAGGGAGAACTTCATTATTATGCAAAAGAGAATGCAGATTAATGGGTTTCTCAGCCTGGTAACACCTCGCGTTAGCCATACGAAGCAGGAGATAGGATATGAAAGTAAAAGAGAGACCTTCATGACTATGCTCTGATTACGTAAAACCAAAATAACTCTTTAAATAGTCCTCTGCAACACCAAAATTAAAGTATATTTTCTAATTCGTACAAGTTCTGAAAGTGTGCTTAACTGCTAAACACAACAAAGCACCATGCAAACCTTTCTCACCATCGTTTCACTAATTTAGCGTTTCTTCTTGTTGCTCCCTTTCGCTGCATTGGACTTAGATGAAGGTGTTGCTACCAAGTGTACGAACAAAACCACCATTGAGATCACTGAAACAAGTGATCCATATTTTGCCAGCACCCTCTGCAACAATTGAAACACAGTAAGATTATTAACGGTTATATTCAATGATTTCACTGGGAGGAAAGAAGTTCATATCAAGTTACCTTTGCCTGAGATAAGAAGCATCAAGAACAACAACCAATTCAAGACACACAAAAAAAATGTCAATAATGAGACAGAAAAAATACGTTTAGGATATGAATGAAAGAAGAATCCTTAATGATTCAAATTTACCAGGGCAAGCTTGTCTGTTGGAGGCACGTCTGCAAGGATGTCTAAAGGTTCTATTGGATTTGAGTACGCTTGCTACAAAACAAGAGAAACATAACACGTGATCACATCACATACATACGCAGATTATAAATTAACACTATAATCACTACAAGACAAAGTCTTTTTTGTTGAAAATTAATTGGAGGGTTTATAAATTTATGAAGCTGTGTTGCTTTTCACCAGTTCCGGGTGTATTTATGTATGGCTCTAATGGTGCTTATAAAAGGCAAACCTGTAGAGCTGCCTTTGTGGGGATGCGGAAAGTGACACTAGCAGGAGCACCATAGAAGGGTCCTTTAACCTTAGCCTCTAATTCGAAAGAATGAGACAGAATACCTCCTCTGCATACAAATATCAGATTAGTAGTTACAAAACGAAGCAGCTACAAAAACATTTAAAAAGGAAAGGAACTCACGCATCAAGTCTTTCCCATGTTCTTGAAGTGTTTCCATTAACAACTTCAAAAGTTTTCTTAACCCAGCTATTGTCAATCAAACTCACATCATACGCCGCCCTGAGAGTAAACACCAAATCCAATCTCACACTTTTAACCCAAATTCAAGTAAAATACGAAACTCAGCGGATCAGATTAAAAGTTGTTTCGTTTACTAGCTATCGATTCACAATCGCAGGTCAATCATCCATACAATAGATCTAAGAATAGCTCAAATATAACGTCATGATTATACATTAGCTAATAATCTCTTCATGCAATCAGACGATCACAAACTAAACTCGATCGTTAATGCAAGCATATGAATCAGATCAAATAGCGTTTCGATTACAATCTAGTGATACACAATCACACGTCACTAATCCTTACGATAGATCTAATGATAGCTCAACCCTAACGTCATGATTCTACAGTATCTAATCTCTTCATGCAAATAGACGATCCGAGAGACTAAACTAGATCGGAACTGCAAGCATATGAATCAGATTCAAATAGCGTTTCGATTACAATCTACTGATACACAATCACAACAATCACACATCACTAATCCAAAACGATAGATCTAATGATAGCTGAAGCATAACGTCATGATTCTACAGTATCTAATCTCTTCATGCAATCAGACGATCAAAAACTACACTAGATCGGAAATGCAAGCATATGAATCAGATTCAAATAGCGTTTCTGTTTACAATCTACTGATACACAATCACACGTCACTAATCCATACGATAGATCTAATGATAGCTCAAACCTAAACGTCATGATTCTAAAGTAGCTAATCTCTTCATGCAAATAGACGATCCAAGAGACTAAACTAGATCCGAAATGAAATCATATGAATCAGATGTATCGCAAAAAAAAAAAAAATAGAGAACTAACGCAGATCCTTGGTTATAGATGTCGAAGGAAACCAAAACGCGCTCTGCGCCAGATTTGAGCCTGTTGAGAGTAGCTTTCTTGTGAACCACCATGAACGGCATTTCCGAGCTCGCGAACGAAGCGGAGACGAGCATGAAAACCGCGATCGCGGAGATCAGAAGCTTAGCTGAGGGGATCGCCATGGCGTTTGATCTTTCGAAGATGCGTAACAGATCTGTGATTTTGATTTCTCTCCGCTCGTGAACTCGGAGACAACGACGATATTACCACACTCGGACACGAAAAAGGTCAATGATGGGCCCAATTGTTTTAAAACCTGGTGATGGGCCCATATAAAAGAGGCCCGTTCTAATTAATTAAGTCCATTTTTCTTGGGAAATAAACTCTATAAATTAATACATCCGTACATTACATTAATTAATTTTCGGAGTTGACAAAAAAAATTCGAATTCCAAATTTTGTTTATAAGTCAATTATTTTTTTTGTTGATAAACTAAAACTAATAAAATATTATGGTTTCAATAGTACTAATTTATAAAAGTTTTATTGTACAATACACGTTGTGACACACACAGACTGTCTCCTGCCACAATCTATATATAACATGGTTCTTCTCTAGCACCACCACATCACCATTGGAGTCAGATATTCCCTGATAGTATTTATTAACATAATTATCATCCTCTATCAATAAATTATTTCGTTTAAAAACAATAATAATAAAGTCTACGCGCTTGCAAATCTGACAACGTAATAATGTGTAATTTATACATACCAACGGTTCGTTCATTTCAAGACATATATTGACCAAAAAAAATGTTAATAAGAGGTTTTTATTACCAGAATTTCAGTTTCAACTCTAATTATTTATTGGTTGGAGTAAGAAAAACTGTGTAAAAAGCGATTTGATTCAGTTAATCAAGGTGGCGGGAAAATTAAGAAAAGAAATCAACGAGGAGAGAGCCAATTAAAACGAACCAAGTGGGAATGAGAATTCACATAATCCCATAAGAAACATAGTTAAAACTTGGATTAAACCGAAAGGCATGTGCCCTTTCTTTTTAGGTTTAATTAAATCAGCAGTACTATACTAGTATGTAACCCAATTGACATTAAATAGTGATGCATGTGGGTGGATTGCATCGAACTATGAGAACCTAAGTGAATCTGTTTCCACCTTCTTCTCTGCTTTGGAACCTTCAAACCAACCTTCCCTCACATGCTTCCTCTGTTCTCCTGTTAGCACGCTGAGATTCTCTCCTTTTTATATTAATCTTAAGCTTCTAATATCAGGATCTATCTGTGTTCAGGTTGTTCCAAAACATCCATAGTTTAGCTTCATGTTTTTCAATGTTGCGTATGTATGTAGGAAGATGATGATATCTTGTGAGCAAAAAAAGAATAGCATATAGAGAGTTGAGGGAGATAGTGAGGGAGCATGGGGTGTGCTACATCTGCTTATGCTTCTGTGGGAAGGAAGAACAAGAAGAGGAACATTCAAGAATCTGTAGTGTTTGTTCCACAGCTCCGTGTTCCTGTTCAATGTGATCTTCAGCGACAGCTCAAAGGCGTTGCTCCTAAGACCACCATCGATCGGTTGTCATGTCTAAGGAATCAGATTCAGTTGGTAGCTGAGGACACAGGTATTGAAGAAATGAAATCATCTTCTTCCTCTTTTCTTGCGTGACAAGTTAAAGGGGACTGTTTTGAAACATATTCAAAGTTTAGGTTTAAAAGAATTTGCAGGTGGTTCTGCCATATCTGAGCTGCGTACAGCTTTGGAGGAGTACTTGTCTCTTCTCACCGGTCTTATCAAGAAAAGTATGGCTACTCAAATTTTGATTAAGTTAAATAGATTTTGTGTGTTGTAAAATCAAAGTTCATATGACTTTGTAGAAAATGATGGCATGGAGGGATGTGTGGAGTTCAAATGGAAAACCCTAGGAGATGGTCGAAGAGTAAGTTCTTTTTTCAATCTTTAGGTTTTGGATTGTTAGTTCTCTAGTTAATCAAAAATATTGAAACAGGCAGAGTTATGTTTCACAAACCTTTGGATGGAGATGCTGACAGTGATCCACATGATGGCTGCTTTGGCATTAACTGAAGCTAACTCTCTCATGATTCCAAAGACTTGCTCTGATTCTAGCAATAGCGTCCGTGTGGTCTCTAGTGGTTTGTCTTCTTTGATCTCACACTTTCTTTTTTGACTTCTGATTTGATTTGTGTTTACAAATCTGATTACTCTGTCACTTTCAATTAGATTGCAGGAGAGATGCTGTTGACTTGCTGCTCAAGGCGTCTGGATACTTGGAGTTCTGCGTCCGAGAGATATTGCCTCGCTTTCCTCCTGATATAAAGTATGAATCACAACAAATACAGAAAATCTAGGATCATATCTTACATATATAAACTTACATGTCTGCAAATGTGCAGGAGTAAATTGCCAGATGATATGCAAGAGAGTGTTTTACAAACTCTTTCAATTCAAGCACTTGGCCAGGTTACACACTTTGAAACAATAACTCCTAAATCTGAACCTTGTAGATGTTTTAATTTGTTAAATCTCATTGAATATCACTGCAGGGAACTGAGATTCAGCTAGGATTAGCAGTAGATAGCCAGAAAGCTACACTCTCTGTGAAGAGGAGACTTGCCTGTGAGCAAGTCATCTACTTCTCTCAGGTCTTCCTCATAGTTTAATACATCTTCATCTTCTTGATTACTTGTGGCACGCTTTTTAGGACAATCATAAGTTTGTGTTCCCTAATCTCTCTATTAACGAGTAAATGGTCACATTATCATTTTTCAGGCATATCAATGCTTGTCTGGTTGTGAAGTAGTTAGTCAGGGATGTGCCAAAAAGCTTCTTCGGTTCATATACTGGAAGTTTCTTGAATCAAAGGTATGTATGAAACATCTACTTTTGGAAAGTGATCAGACAGTTACAGACTACAATTCATTTAACCTCTCTGTTATGTTCTGTTTTTTTTATGACAGGCTGCAGCATACTACTACCATGGACTTGTAACAGACAAAGGAAACGAGCCAGCTTGCCATGTGAGCGCGGTGTGTTGTTTCCTTGCAGCTGCAGAGCTCTTAGCAGAAAGCAAGAAGGCTTGTTTCAGCTTCTGCTTAGCTCCTCCTGTCACCAGGTTTGTGTTTTCATCATATATATATATATATCAAAGACACACTTATAAAGTGAAGTGTGAATTGAATCATTATATTTTATTAGGGCTCCTCCTATGTGGGGTGTTATGAAGCATTTGAGTCAGAAGATTCCAGAAGTTGCTTTTAGAAAGTCTCAAACTTATGGATACTTGCTTGAAGAAGAAGAAAAGTAAGTGTGAAGAGTGTTGATCATGTAGCATTATTTAAACTGATTTAAATTAAAGCTGATAGTATGATAATAAAACCACAGGGCAATGCAATGTTTGCCAGAGCTCCCAGACTTTCAATTGTCATTGAGACCAGAAGAGTTTGAACTGCCTGAGATAGAAGCTGGCTCATCTGAAGGAAACCAAACCCATTTGCTTAGTGAACATCTCGAAGACTACTCTGATAATAATGAAGATGATGATGATGAGCTTGATCATTGAGAAACACTGTCTCTACACTTATTCTTTTGAGTATCTTACCACTTATATAATTGTAATGTAATAGAGTTACTTCTTTTACAGTACTAGTTTCTTCCGTGTCTGATACTTGTTAAACTTTTTGAGTATAGCATGTAATGTGACTAATTATTTATGCTAATAAGAACTTGAAAGGTTTAAGAAAAAATGATGTTTTGTAAAGAAAAAATGATGTTTTGTAAAGAAAACATTGGAGTAAAAAAAAGTGGTTGTCGTGTGAGGCGCTTCAAAACGGCACGCAGTTTACTGTAAAAGTGGAAGCTAGTAGCTATGTAGCGTGAGCGATTGAGCGTCACGTGAGTGAGTCACGTGGGGGTAATGATGAGTATGTTTGGATTCCGCACGTACTAACTTTTGTAGAGGCGGTTAAGGATTTTTCCGCTTAAACGGAAGAAGACGGTGATAGAGAATCTCCGAGATAGAGACGATTTGTTCATCCATCTTTTAAAGTTAATGTTTGATCACACAACACAAATGCATTTATCCATCAACGATTAAAAAGTATTCAGTTACACATTTAAGCAGAGACCGATGCATGTTTATAAAGTTATAAACCTAAAACCGAAACGATCAGTATCCAAAAAGGTAGCATATGCAGCTAAGCTTAGTTTATCATTTTAAAGTAAGAAGATGAACGCAAAAATTAAAGATAGAGAGATATAAACGTTACATAGCTCCAAAGTTGTACTTACTAGAGACCTGAACAATGACAAACAGAAAATTCAAAGATTACTTTCAGAGATGGAGAGAAAGATCCAGCTGTGGTGACTCATCTTCAACGTATCCGGAAACTCCAAACGAGTAACCAAACGGATACGGATACGGCTCCACGTATCCTCCTCCACCCTGCACCATCATAGTCGTCATCTGTTGATTTGGTACGCTCCAGGTCGATCCTGTTGCTGTAACAGATCCTTGATCAGGCTGGTAATGATGATGTTGATGATGAGAAGCAACGACGCCGAGGTTGCGGCGAGCAGCGGCGCGTTCGCGTTTGTGTGCGTTCTGGTGACCGCCGAGAGCTTGAGAGGTGTAGAATTTTCGTGGACAGTAGTGGCAAGGGTAGAGACGGTTGATGTTCGGAGGTTGAGAGTGTTTCTTGTAGTTTGATGGTCGGTGTTTTGAGGGAGGAGGAGACACGAAGTGTGGTGGCTCTGCCATTTTCAGAGAGAGAGAGAAGATGACAGTAGTTTTTTATGGGAAGGGTTTAAAGTTGTCTCTCTACTTTTTGTTTGTTTGTGTCGTTTGTTGCAGAGATTATATGTTTTCTAAATTACGATTTTGCCCTTACTAACGACTTTCACAGATCCCAAGTAATCATTCTTTTTTGCTTCATCCGTATGTGCATGGGATTGGGATTGGGATGCATACATACATAAAGTATCTCGAGTTGAATTTTAGCTTTGTACTTGTTCTCCAAGTTAAGTTAATTTAGTTTTTAATAAAAGTAAAAGAATGTTTTACCTTTGTAGCGTTGTTGAAAGGGTAGTAGTAGTAGTAGTATTGAGATTTCGTTTTAATGGTGAGTGCGTGTTGCTAATCTCGTTTAATTGAACGTAAAAACGACAGTACTGTGATGGAGATAGTAATTAAAGAGTAAGTACAGAGGTTTTGAAATTGAAATCTGCTTCGTTAAGATAAAAAGGAGGATGGAGTAGAAAGAGATTTGAAGTTGTTGATGTATGTGATTAGGACTTCTCTCTTTTATTTGCTTTTATAATAAAAATTATATAGAGAAAAAGAGCGATTGGTTGCTTTTTTGTTTGGACTGGTACATCCCCTGCAACGAGAGATAATCCGTTAACGACACGTGCTGACAACACAGCTGTGTGCAGTATGCAGTACACGTACAACACGAGTGAATATACACCATCACACTTGACTGAACAAGTTTGAAATCTTAACAATAAATCTTATTGGAGAGTTTTGTTTGATTGATATGATATGATAGTACCTTGTTGTTGTGATGCTAAAAGAAGACAAAGAGGGTCAAAGTTCCAACATGGAATTGCCCAAACAAGGAAGGCTTCTATGTTTCTCTAACCCTATTTATCTTCCCATTTACTCACTACTTGCCTATCTGTCTCTCCTTTTTATTTCCTTCTCATTCTGCTCATTTCCTTATCGGATTTACAAATTACTGTAAATGTCTCCAACACACTAAGCCCAACATCATTAAAGTTTATGGTCTTTTCTAAGGCCCATATACAACACCATACAGTAGCTCTTAATCATTAATTAAAAAAACAACAAGAAAGCTTTTATGTTTACAGTCTATACTCTTTTTTTTTTTTTTTTGATAAATGTCTATACTCTATATGTTCATCCAAATTCCAAACCACTCTGTTAGAAAGCCATTTTTTTCTTCTCAAGAGTAAATTAAGGAACTTAGGTGCTTTTAGGGTGATTGTACTAAATAACCGGGACCATATCAATTATATTATCTAAATGTCTAAATAAATTGTGTTGTTTTGCAAAAACACGAAAACGGAAGCTGTTTTTCTAAAATAGCTTCTATAAGAATAATGAATCAACATGCTGAGTTGTAATGAGCCATGTTATTTGTAGAAATATCACTCCAGCTATGTACTTTATTTTTAACTATAAAATATTACTTAATTAATTCTCACAATATCATATGTCTGATGATCCTTCTAAATATAATTACGGTGTAATTAAGTCTTGGTCAAAGTAATAAACGTTTGCTTGAAAATGAAGCAACCCCACATCTAATTTACCTTTTGTGTGCTGAAAAAGTAAATTTGCTTTCTCTGTCAAGCATATTCCAGCCCATTGGCACCTAGTTACCTCTTCTCACACACAATACACAGACTTGTTCACATTCACTTTTCACTTGATGCCTCCTCATCATTTCATTTTGCTTATTTCATTTATTTAATGCAGGCAAGGTAACTTTGTTACGTTTTTTTCTCTGATTACATTTGAAAACCAAGGTTTGCTTCGATTAAAAGCATTAAAGGACATGTTTATGGTAATATGTGTATTTGTGTGGGAAAGAGGAGAAACTTAGATTGCCTTAATCGATGTTGTCTTTTTGTGGATTGTACATTGGAAGATGGTGCACAATGCACATGTAACTTGTCGTTGACCTTCCACACCATTTTCTATTATTTATTTTACAATGTTAGAATGTATACAACAAAATTGATACAAGCTTTGTTGTATTTACAATCATTATCAATTTATAATGTACATACATACACCCATGTTATATCTCTATTCTGTCCTTATGTAAATCAAGTAATCTTATACTCATTGAGACATTGTGTTGGCTTGCATGAATACATGATTTATAGTGCTATATATATATAGTTGAGAAGGTATCTATATAGTGCTATTTACAATCATTTGGGTACATATTTCCTCTAACAAATCATGAAATTCATTAAACATATAACTCTTATACCATGGCATGGTAACCATGTATTCACAATCATTATAAATTTATAATGTACATACATACACCCATGTTATGTCTCTACTCTGTCCTTATATAAATCAAGTAATCTTATACTCATTGAGACATTTTGTTGGCTTGCATGAATACATGAATTTTAGTGCTATATATAGTTGAGAAGGTATATATATATAGTGCTATTTACAATCATTTGGGTACATATTTCCTCTAACAAATCATGATATTCATTAAACATATAACTCTTATAAGTTATACCATGGCATGGTAACCATGCTCGCATTATTTTTCTGGTATACAATTATACAACTCCTACACACATTGCTAAGCTAAAATAATCATGTCCACGATTTTGGTTTATAAACATTTTTTAACCTCTGCCAATGACAATTGACAAATGTATATAAATTATTTTTCGGTTATATAAAATAGTCGATACGAAGCACTTAGCTTCTCGACACCCCATGCGATGCTTTCTTCGTTTATCCCATTTATTTAAAATTTCGTTTTCAACTCTTTCTTTTGTCATACCACCTTATTATATAAGTCGCCAATCCATCTATATATTTAAAAAATTATCATGTAAGGTATCTTATGTGCATCAACTTGTTGTAGCTTAATACTAAATACAAAATGCATCTCCATCTCATATTAGTAAATCAATTTTCCATATATAATTGTATAATAAAATAAGTATATATATTCTTATTCTATATGAAAAGAAAGGGAATCAAGTTCTCATCCAAGAATACATCTTTTTCTTTAAATTTAACTTTGCTTCCTCTTACACGGCTATGTCACTTTTAACTCTGATATTGTTAAAAGAACTTCATGTAAAAGTTAACAAGTTTGACATATGTTTGGTTTGTTCAACAAATCTCCACTCACACAACACTTTCTGATAAAAATTGACCACCCTCTAGCCTCCTTTAACTTGTTTCTCTAACATATGAATCAATACGTGACAGAAACGTAAGTGGAGTAGGTTAGGGTTAAGAAGCAACGTTTAAATAATGCTCCCTGACTCATCAGCTGAGGTAGGAGGAGAAGGCGGTGGAGGACCAATTTCATGATTGGACCCAATAGTAAAGTCTTCTTCTTCTTCAGCATCTCTCACTCTTGATTTCCTCTGTCTTCTTCTTCCTTTTGATTCTTTCCTCTTATACACTTTGTACACTGCCCATTCTCCAAACACCTATTTTACAATACAAAATCAAACCCATTACTCTAAAGTGTTTCTTTCTTTCTTGTTATAGTCTAGAAAATTACCTTAGTTGATGCAAATCCGGAAAGGGAATACTCTGTCATGCACCATCTGGTTTTGTTGCAACTAATAGAAGAGTTATTTGTTCCATGGAAAACAAGTGTTCTTCTAATCCCAACTGTTCTACCACAAGCAATGACTTCTCTTTCTTTCTTAATAGGTTTCCAATAACCATTACCAGATGAAATCTTGATTCTATGCTCATTTCTTGAGACTTCTTGTCTCTTCTTGCAAAAGAAGTACCTCTGCCTCTCCTCTTGATCCCCTGAAAAAAAGAAAAACCCAAACACTATAATATGATAAAGAACATAATCTGATGAAAAGTTACAACAACCCATTTCAACATTTAAAGAATAACAGGAGACATAGGCTAGACAGAAGGAATAAAGATAGATAAAGACCTGGGAAAGTGAGAGGATGAGAGAAGAAGACATCAAAGACAGGGATGATGGAGGAAGGCAAAGGAGAAGCAATGGCCTTTGGAAGCAAGTAATGAAGGATAAGCTCCTGTTCTGTTGGGTGAAATCTATATCCAACTGGTAACTTCATGCCTCCATTGACCATTATCCTCTTGTTCACTTCCATATCTTGTCTCTTCTTCTTCTTCAAAACTTTTTAATTTAATTATTGATCAAAATTTAAACTTCTACAAGCATGGATCCATCATTCCATCTAAAAGGAGGAAACAAGGGAGAGAGAGAAAGAGAAATAAGATTCGTGTAGCCTTTTGTTTGTGAGGCTAAATGACAGTAGGAGAGGGGTTCTTTATATATGTATAGATACCCACGGGTACACTCTGCACATATATATTATATTATAGTTTTTGTAATATAAATGGTAGAAATGGCTTCTTTGTCTGAACATTTCTTTAGTTCATAATAAGAAGAAAGATGATTACATGAGTAAGGAAAAAGGAAGGTGCATTTGAGGGTATGTTCATTGACTTATAAAGTTACAAGAAAATGTCATATACATATTCAAAAAAAAATTACAAAAAAACAGAGAGATGGAAGAAAGAGAGAAACGTACAAGTCTGGTGTTTTACTCCATTTGCAAAAGGTTCCTTTCACTTGTTACCATTTGATCATTTATTCCTTTCAGTTTTACAATGCAACCAAACCATTAAATCTAACACAGTAAAAGTTAGATCTCTTTTGACAATTGTGAGCCAGCCGACTTCCGCCTATTCAATTAATAATTTACAATTACAATATGCTGTAGCCTGATCTAAATGTTAATTACTTTCTTTTGTAAAATGACAGATGTGCTTAATCGCATTTATTTGTACGTGTGAAAATATGAGACACAACACCGCCTACTTGTTCCCCCTACTAGTTTAGACTATCCCCATTAGAGGATTATAAGGGGTTTAAGGGGAGGGGGATTACACGGCCCAGGGCCGAATTGCTCCTCCATCGATGAACGGCGGATTCAATTGGAATTGCCGCAAGAAGTTGCCGTTTTATTCTTGACGAGCTTTTTCGATGGATCTTGGACTGTGTAAATGTGTGACTGTGAATGACTAAATCAAATTTTATTCATTTACTTGGTTCAAAAGAAACGAAACAGAGCTCCTTTGCCTTTTGGTTTGTACATATTAAAGACTGCTCAAAACTTTATAATTTGGATAAACTTGTTTTTACATGTACTAGCTTGGTGTCTAACATTATCTCTCTGTAAACATGTTTAATTTTGTAAATGGATTTACTATAGTGACAATATATGTGCATTATTCTGAAAGCAAAATTTAACTCTGACAGAATAACTGGTGCACTCGAATGACCAACAAAAACATATGCAAATAGATGTTATGGGTCTTGTATGTCTTTTCATGCATTTGATGATCGATCCATAAGATCAACACCATCGGTTAACAACTTCTTTAGATTTCTTAAAAGGAAAAAATATTCTTTTTAATAAAATTTAGTTAGTCAATTAATCTTTTTCAAATTTAACCCAACAAAGAAGAGACATTTGGAACTGAAATTGCTTTAAATAACTTTAATTATTCTACTAATTACTAAAGTAACTCATATTATTTTGTAATTTAATATATTAAAAGAGAAGTCATGACTCTTTTAATGTGTGATATTTAAAATAGACTATCTACTAGAATTTGTCACATTACATTATTCAATCATTAATTAGTAACCTTAAAATTAGTTACATATAATTTTGGGCTTATCCAAAATTTTTATTGGGCTAACAGTAATTAGAGAACCCATTGGATTTATATATAATATAATAAAATACATGTTTAAATTAAAATTAGTTACATATAATTTTGGGTTTCTCCAAAATTTTTATTGGGCTAACAATAATTATCTTTTAAAGATTGATATACATATATATATATATATATATATATATATCAATTTAGAAGTGAAAACAAATTGTTTTAAAAAATTAAAAACAAAAAATTTCTATAAAAATAAATGAAAACAAACATCCGCGTGGTTGCGCGGGTCGAGATCTAGTTGCTAGATTAAAACATAAAAGTAAAATTTACCAAAACCACATATAGTCTATTTTGTTATATTGTATAATTTATGTATATGCATGAAGTTTCAAAATATTATCATTGTAGTATTCATTTATGTAAGTTTGAATCGATCAACACTTTAGTTTAATTTTAGTATTTGATTCTCAAAACAATATAAAGTAAATTATACATAATTTTACTAGAAAAATTGACAAAATTATCCCCAACTTTCACATTTAAACTAAATAAATTCATAATTCACAAACACATCATTTTAATAACACGAATAATTTTATATTAAGGATCGATTATAGTTTAACCGGATGAGCAGATGTTATATTGCGGTTTGACGAGCATCTGACAGTTTTGACTCGTTCATTGGGTTAACTATTTTAATATGGTTAGTTAAACCATAAATCTTAAATTGTAAATGAATGAATACTTGTTAATTGGGATATATTATTTTTAAAATTCTCAAAGTTGGATTACTGTATATAGACAATCCCAAGTAGAGAGTGGTAAGATAAAAATCTAGCGGCCCAAATTATGTTAGGTATTTGGGCTTTTAGGTCTATTTATTTGTGGACATGAACCAGCCGGATTGAACTTTTGGGTCTTTATTTTGTTCTGTCGGTAGCCTTTTGAACTAATCCTCTTCCTCGTGTCTTAATTGGAATCCTGTTCCTTGAGGTCTGCGTTTTTTTTTTCCCCTTTCTCCTGATTCAATCTGGATTCTTCCATCTCAAGAGAGAACGAGGACAAGAAGTAAGTTGCTTTTTGTTTTTCCATTGACCTAACGAGAAGGAAGGAATATACGGTGACAAGTTTTTTTAGGGTTAAATAAAAAGATTTTATGAAGAAGACGAAGAACATGTCTGATCTTCCAAGGGATGCCGAGGAAGAGGTGCTGTGTCGAATTCCGTTGACATCTCTGGGAGTTGTCCGATCTACTTGCAAAAGGTGGAAGATGTTGTCGAGATGTGATCGCTTATTTGCAAAGAAGCACCTTGCTCATCTAGCAGCAGAAGAAGCAAACAAGGACCACCCTCTTGTGGTTGTGATGATGAATCATAGGGTTGAGTTGATGAGATTGAATCTAGACGAAGACGTTGCTGTTGTAAATCCTGAAGCTAAACTTATTGGGCTAGATCAAATCGATGTGCGTGAAATCTTTCATTGCGACGGTTTATTCTTATGCATTCCAAAAGAAGACCACTATAGGCTTTTGGTTTGGAATCCCTATTGGGGGCGGCAACCCAGGTGGATCGAGCACACACATAATCACCACTTACTGGACACGCGTCTCTCTGGTCGGTTGGACAGGTATACGTATGGTCTCGGATACGATAGTAGCACTAGTTCCCACAAAATCCTGAGATTTATTGATCATCCCCCAAAATTCGTTGAGTTCAAAATCTACGACTTCAACTCTGGTTCATGGAGAATTCTTGATCTCCTTCCTCGAGAGAACATTAACTGGAGAATAGAATTTTGTGAACGCGGCGTATCTTTAAAGGGAAATACCTACTGGTTTGCATCAGAAGCTAGGAATTTTAATGCCACTAGTTTCTTAGTCTGTTTTGATTTCACAACAGAGACATTCTCCCCGCCTTTGCCTCTCCCCTTTGAGGCTTTTCGTCAAGATACTTTTATTCTATCATCAACATCTACTAGTGTTGGTGGAGAATGTACTCCGCAGCTTGTGGTTTTATTCCAGGCCTCGGATACATTGGAGATGGAGATCTGGATTTCCAATACGATTGAGCAGCCCAACGCCCTGTCCTGGAACAGCAAGGTTTTCTTATCGGCAAATATCGAACAACTCATTAACCGCTATTGGCAGTTTGAGCAATCTGCGTGTTTCTTCATTCACCAGGAGAAGAAAGTCGCCGTGGTTTTTGATAAAGACGACCATATGGCTACTCCCACTCGTGAAATAGCTTACTTCTTCTTTGGAGGAGGAGATGGATCATCATCTTCCTTGAAACAACAAGTTGTTAAAGAATCTGCATACCCATTTTGTTTTTCACGTGCTTGCTATTATGTTCCAAGCTTAGTGCAACTCAACTAGTCCACCTATTACTCTAGACACGGCCTTAATCTTCATGATGACATGCACATGAAAGGATAACTTAAATCATCTTGACTCTGTTTCTTCTTTCTTCCCTTCTTTCTTCTTTTGGTGATAGTACACATTCTTGAATCTATCAATGCTTTCCCTAAACAAAATTAAGATTGCCTTCAAGCTTGTAATCTGGAAACTGCAAGACGAAATCTTGATAAGACATCCAAGAATTTTCCACTGAGGACGTTCCTCCCCATTTAATCAACAACTCAAAACTCCTACGTTTATCCAGCACATCCTCCAGTGTTAAATCAAGTTGCTCATTGCATGGACAAACTAAAGGACATCGTGGTGATATGTCTTAATTTATTAATGGTAGTGGTATACATGTATATGTTCCTTTAGGTTCTGAAACACGTACTACTTTTGTCGTCACACATGCGTGAAGTGACATAATACACTCACACTTCTTGGTTTGCGTTTTTTTTCGTCTGATCCCTTTTTTCTACGGCTCCAACACGAAGTCTGCAAAAGCAATTATGGATTATTATCTGGTTCGACCACAAGCAGTAAACTAGTGGATGCCTAAATGGTAATGTATCAAAAACATCCAGAATAAGATATCTGCCTTTGAAATAATATATCAAGTAATTGCGTGTCCTCGTCTGTTTTGATCCAGTGTTCTCCGTTTTTAGATGAATCGGAACTTCCTAGCTCATACTGGATCCATGGTTTACTTCCAACATTAATCCAGTAGAATTTGCTTGGCTGTTTTTTGGAATTTCGCTTTTCATGATGGAGTCTTCTGGATATAAAACTTGTGTCATCTGCACTCACAATATATGTTTGTTAGAAGCAAGCTTTTTGATAGAGCTAATTATGCAAAAACTGTACTATAGAAGTGCTCTAGTCAATGCTATTAAAGTCAGGGATTAATCATCTGTTGTAGTCAATGCTATTAAAGTCAGGGATTAATCATCTGTTGTAGCATGTATCATGCAGCAGGCGATTTTGATAATATGTTTCTGAAAAAGCTGAGAAGAGAAAACCATACGTTTTGGAACTTCTTCTTTGTGGAAGTTTCTTGATGGTCTTTCATTGTACCCCAAAAAGCTCCTCTCACATATATACAAAGTCCTCAGTATTAGGATTGTCATATACTCAGAACTTTCATATGAGCTGCTTTTTCACTAGCACACCGATGGTGACCACTTCCCATGGGACTACCAGGAAGACACTGAAGGACAATCATCAAAAACTGCATTGGTAATTAACATGATGAGCCTAAGGAGTTATGATAATATTTACCCGTTCAAAAACCTGGGAACTAAGTAATGATGCAATAACCCCACTACCCAGTGATCTTTTCTATCCAGTCCATTTGATCTAGTGCACTCTCAGCCTGCACTGACAAACGTAAGTAAACACATGAGTGAAAACTATGAAAACACTGAAGGTCAAAGGCAGCAACAAACACTCTGAAGCAAAACCTCAGATCTTAGTAGTTGAAGTAAGCCAGTTCACTGTATGACGAGCTACAGACTTCTCATAATCATATACTCCACCATGATTATTCGAAGATAGCTGTTTCTCTGTCCAGAAAGTTGGCTGCTAGCACCCTAAACATCAACTCAACTAAGTCAAAGAGTGTGCAAAGAATAGTTCAAAAAGATAAATATAAACCTACAGATGGTTTGCTACATTGCTTTCTGTAATAATACAGCATTCCTCGGCTGTTAAGAACAAAAAAAGAAAAACCGTCTTTTCCAGTCTCCTCTCAGGTTTGAAAGGAAAGATCGGTTCGGTCTTATTCCAGTTAAAGGAAAGAACAGTTCGATTCTGTATAAACCGAACCAGTGGTCCATGTGGTCCATGGTGGCAAAGCAACAGAGTGTTTGACGGCGATACTTTTGCCATGTACTCCCCCCAAAAATATGTTGATGTAGTCTTAATGATTTTTTTCGTACTACAAAATATGTTACCAATAGGCCATGCAGATTCTTCTAACTCCTTGCTAGTAGAGGCGTTTTCTACATGGACATTAAGCAGGGACCGTGGTATGTGAAGTATTGTAGACCATGTACCTTGATTCCACGCTTGAGAAGAAACTTGTGAAGATCCATTCTCTCGACTGGAACTGTGTTCAGTCAACTTTGATGATGAAGAAGAAAAGAAAATCAATACTCATGGAAAAGAAATATAAGACTGAAGTAGCAATCGCGGTATTTACTCCTCACGTTGCAAACTTCAGTTCAAAACATAACGCGCAGGTCTGATAGATTTTAGTAATCAGGAAAGGATTACAAGATAGCTTTGCAGATTCCAATCACAACCACCTTCTCATGGCGACCGAGACTCATAGCGTCTACAACATCAATATACAAAGCATCTGCCTAACGTAATGAGCAAATCCTCTCTTATACGCTTCTTTCTTCCCCTTGTCCAGCTTGGATGCCACATCAGCATGGAAAACACTTATCAATACTTCCTCCTTAACGACAAGCTTGCCCTCAAGCTTGATGAGAAAGAAAAGGTTGTGGTAACTTTTGAAGATGCGTGTGGCTGCAACTGTGTCGTTTGCAACAAGCATACCATTCATAGCTGATACTGAGGTAGATAATTCTTCCCTCTTAAAAGCATGTACCATCACTGAGCCTCTGTGTAAGATAATATCATACAGTTCAGACACCTTGACTGCATTATTTTTGCCAACATGAACAGACCAACGTCAACCACTCCGCAAGACGTGTGCACAACAAGTATATATGCCCTCAACCAACCCACTTGTCACTTTTGTTTTTCTGCGTTTCAAATACACCAACCATCAGAGAAGGACAAGTGGAATCTTTACTTCTCCAGCGGTGCCAAAGAAAACAGGAACTGCTCCAAGGACACCACTCAACATGTAACAGAGCATGTACTTGCTTTATATATGAACCTCCATTTTTTGTAACTCCTCTTCCATTTCAGCTTCTGTTGTATCCAAACTTGTAGTCTATATCTCTTAATATACATCAGTAACACAGCTCTTCTCTCTTTACGCAATTGCTGATTCACCACTAGAACCATCCAAAATATGCTCTGTTCTGTCTTTTTCCTAACATATTTGTTGACAATATCAGTCTCGCTTGCTAATGTAAACCACCAAATCAGCACAACCACCATCAATAAGTAAGTATGGAGTCTCATGTGTACTCCCTCCCTCTTGACCTCAAGCTTGAACGGAGCAACACAGAAAAGATTTGTATGAAAAATTTCACAAGACTGCAACTCATTTCTTCTTCCGGCGTTTTGCTCTAACACAGATGCTGAAACTAAAGCGTGAGGTAACTGCTTAAATCGCCATCGGTGCTTCACTTGAAATTTCACATCACCAACTGGAAACTGTCGCACTGCTTGTAAACCCTTGCTCAGCTGCCATTTATGCATTTGTCTTATAATCATTATCAACACTCTTGGCTGTTTTAGTGTGGATGGTGTGAGAGACGAGTTATCAAACGGAACACTGCAATTCTCAGCTCTGAACTCAGCAAGTGCTTTTAAGACAAAAATTTGAGTATTAACTTGAGTCAACCACTGAGACAGTTCTGTAACCGCCTTGTCCTCACTCATACTCGGAATTCTACACATTGACATCCATCCTTCAACCCATACACACAGACATTGCAAAAGAGAATGCAAAAACCTCAGGGATGTTCCTGTCTCTCCATTCTCAGCAAATCACGTCCATGGTCAACCAAATATGCAGAGTATGGAACATGATTGTCTTGTCTCTTCCTTTCCACCCCTTCAGGTTTGTACTTGAAGTGCCAAGACTTGCAAAACTTCTTCTTTGGTTCACAGTATTGTTGTGCTGAAGTTAACAAAGTAACATCAGACAATCTCTGCACTTGGACAAGATACCCGGGAGCAACATGTCGTCTCTTAATTCTTTAAAACTTGGTTTCACTTTCAACTGAACCCACTGTCTCCTAACCATTTGTGATACAGTCATAGTTTTGAACTTGAATTTCCAAGTTTTGATAAACTTCTGCTGCTCCTTGCCGATCACATGTCTGAATATGTGACCAACTAGCGGTTGCAAACAAGAGATTTTAACATTTTGCTGCACCAGTGTATGCTCCTGAAATGAATCAGTTGCCTGTTCAAGTTCTGGAAGTATGTCTTTCGCAACCATTACGCCTGTCGCTTGCGCTTGCTCAGCCTCTGCACATGATGCCTTCTTGAACATTAACTCAGGTGACAAGCAACTATGAACATGAACGTCACTAGAGCTCACAGAAACTTCCTCCACTATCGCTGATGCCATCTTCTGCGCCACATTCGGAGGCATTTCTTCTAAAATCAACTCTTCCACTGCAGATTCTGTTTCCTTACTTATCTCTTTCTTTAGATCAGGCACATGAAGTAAATATCTCTCAAGCAGTGTTTCAGAGTGCATAGAGACTTCCACCACACTTTCGGTCTGTTCACCATTACTCTTTCAGAAACAATATCGGAAATAAATTCTATCTGCTTCACTTCTGCAACAGAGGTTACAGAACCGTTTTCCCCAGTTGCTATCTGCTTCACTAAAAATGTCCCACTCTGATCCACCTCTGCAGCTAATTTCTCCTCAGAATCTTCCATAAGTGGTGATTTTTGTCTCTTGTTCTACTTCTGTCTCATGAGCACCTTCACTGAGCAAAATGGATTCATCCTTCACAGTCACATGTACTGTAGAACAGCTCATAGCAGGACCAAATCGAGCCATTAATTGTTGCTTGAAATCATTCCAATCCTTGATTATTTTCCTGCGCTTCATCTCAGCAAACAAGCTACACACATCTTCACTTAAATTCAAAAAGATCATGTCCAACTTATAGTATAATACCTATCAGCTTTTTCAATCCAAATCTCTGGATTTGCTCCATCAAAGATAGGCAATTTCTCAAACACAGGCTTCGCAACATTTTTGATAATATGATCACTACTTTCAATATTCAGCACATCAGTTCGATAACCTAAATGCGAAACTGTCCGGTTTTGTTCCAGATTCTGAAGCCATACCTGAGATTGAGATGAAAAAGATTCCAGAACTCGAGTCGAAGTATGAACAGAATCATGAACATCATGAGTTATGCCCTCCTTGACCAGTGTAAGTCACAACATCGGCATTGTCGACATCATCCTCATACTGTCCCGACATAACAATAGAAGTAGCGAGCGGGAAAGTGATAGTCACTATACTCCTGCAGGGAAAAGAAAAATAGTGAAATCAATGAATAATGAGAGAATTACAATGTAGTACCGTAAAAGTAAAAAGAAAGAAGGTAAGAAGAATTACTTTTTGGTAGTCTTCTCCCATATAATCGATGCCATTTAGCCAATGGCTATGGAAGCCAACAGCAACCATTTCGGCTCTTGAATAGAACTGATGTCCGAAACAAAAAAACTTAATATACATGTAGGCATATGCCTCATGCTTACCATGTTCATTCCTTCCAGTGCCTAAATCTTGGATCGGTTTTTAAACTTTAAACAGTCTCTGTGTTGCTATATAGTACATGTGGTAAAGTAAAGTATCACACATGATTTGTAGTATTTTGAAGTTGTTGGTCGTTTTTCCATTAAAAAAACCACTTCAAATCTTTGTAGTAGAAAATTGATTATTTCTTTGCCATAAGACTTACCTATCACAGAAGTCTGCTACACTTGCAATCTCCTCAGACCTCCGAAGCACAAACCTGAAAAAAAATTAAATTAATTAGTCTTTACTTACATGACTGGATATTTGAAGACTTTGTAACCATTTGGTAGTGTTATTCCCATACAAATGGTTCTCGGTTCACATTTTCTTTATCTAAGTCGCATTCTAAAATCAAACCCATGGGTAAGTTTTTTTTCCATTCTACAAGTCTTTGAAACCCATGTGTAGTCTTTGACTTGAGACTTCCTTAAACCGTTGGTTTGTTATACTCGTGGGTTGTTATTCCCGTCCAAAGTAAACTGACATGTCTTATATGTCTTGTCTAAAGACTTATATGTAAGCCGTGGGTAGTAAAGACTTCTAAGCCGTGGGTGGTCAAGACTTTTAAACTGTGGGACTTTTAACTGACATGTCTTATGTCTTTGTCTTAATACCTGTACTTTTGTAAGCCTTTGTAAGCCGTGGGTGACAAAATAAGGAATCTGTTTTTAGTCTGTAGTCTTTGTAAGACTAGCAAGTGT